ATATGGTTCATGGGGTCACGAAGAGTCGGACACGACTTAACGACTAAACAACAACAAATCTGTCTCACATATAACCTGCACCTGTATTGCCAACTCATCTTCCCCTCCTTCCCCCCGTACCCCCAGCTTCATCCCAACTTAAATCCTACAACCATCAAGCCATTCTATGCATCTCTTTATTTATTAGAAAAATTACATCCCTCTCTTCAAATGCATATATACTACTTGGGGCAGTTAATAGAATATTAATCATAGCATTAACCAGTATTAACGTGACATAATTAAAAAGTCAACCGAGGAACTACTGCAACCTGTACAGTCTAATTAAAATTAAATATAATTTCCCAGCTGCTAGGACAAACATGATCATCATGTCTGTAACCTGAAATAGATTGTCCCTTAAAACAAAATCACATTATCATCTCACGTTATATCAAAGTACTGAGGCAGATTATTTTTCTTTAGATCCATCCATCTGGAAGAAAAAAAATGAGTGATTTTTGTTGCATTTAAAAATGTCAACGTCACTCTGTAAATTTTGTTCTAGCTTTGCAGAAGACAATGTATGAAATTCAACACCTACCCCTTCTCTTTTGTTTCTAAGCACGTGTAACCGAAAGAAATGGGTCAGACGAACAAACATAAAAGTCTCACAAACACACATGGACTACGTGTCCATATGCATAATTACTGTTGTAGTATAAACACTGAAGGATGTTAGTATGAGACCCACACTTACCTGGAGAGAAGCCAGCATATATAAGTACAACTAACAAAAATTGCAACCAAATGTACTCACCTTGAAAAAAAGTAAATAATTTCTTGTGGAAATTTTTTTAATAAGGTAACCACTTAACTAGTACAACCTTGGCAATTTCATTCATCTCCTCTCAGGCCATATTAAAAAATACTCCAGAAACTCTTCCAATTTTTGAAACAGGTTTTTGGGAGGCACAGAAGTTGAAAAAAAGGAGATTCTGACAGGCAGGTGTCCAACAGTGATCTCAACCCCTGTTTGATCTCAGCACACTTCTCACCTTGGTCCTTCCAGATTTATTGAATTCCTACCCACATGACCAATGGATTCTGGAAGCTGTGGTCCCCCATGTATTTGGAGACCATCTTAGTTAATTTCTCACATAATATATAAACTTAACAGAAACAGCCATTTGGATGTGCTCAATTCCTTGTGCAAATTGTGGTCCAGAAAATAGTGGGATCTCCTTCCCTTTCTCTCTTAGCAAATATTAATTAGTCAATATTTTCTCCTGGCATTTTCTACAAAATAAATGTCATATTTTAATAATTATCCAATTTTGTCCATAGTACAGAGAAAGTATGAGCTAAAAGAAATGCAACAAATTATTACATGTTCTTATTATGGGGTAGGGGACTTTGAACGAAGATATTCTCCTTTCACTTTTATTCAAAATTGTTATAAGTCACCCTTATACATAGAAACATACTAACATTTAAAAATGCATTTTTATTAAGTTAGCAATGTGGCTAATGTTGAATACAGATTATCTCAAAGAATGAGGTGTCACCCAGATTAAGCTAATTTACAGTGGAGATAACAATATGGAAGCTACACTTTGCTCTTTCACTCTGTATTGAACAGCTGTTCACCACAGAATTCCTTGTGACTAACCTTGATTTTACACATTTACAAGCAGTTTTTGTTATTCTCCATTATTAAAGGTAATGATTGATATTGTAGGAATCTGGCTGTATTACATTTTCGGCAACAGCATCTATTTTTAAAGAATTCATTGCCAAATATGAAGCTCCAAACCCTTTTCATATTCCTTAGCTTTGCCATTTTCTTCCAGAATACAGCTTAGTCAGAATGCTTTATTTCAAGTTCTTTGCATTAAGGAATCACATTTTTTTCTTTTGCAGGCTGAAATACTGATTTTTCAACAAAAGATCACTAGGGGGAGCACACGAGCAATGCATCATGAATCTACCTCACTTCTAGAATCCTTCCGATGGGGGGGGGGAGTTTTACAAGTTTATGCTGTTAACAAAACACAGCGCTACAATAAACAAAGGGAAACACAATCAAGGCTGCTAATTTTTTTTGAATAACGAATGTGAACTTCAAGTGAATTTCCATAGCAGTTGAACACGATTCTATGGCATGTGTTCAAAATAATCCATACAATGGACTTACTCTACATAGTAGACACCATATACAGGATCTTCAATCTTTTCCCAACCAGCAGGTAGTTCTAGAAACAGACAAAAAAGAAACCTTTCTTGAAACATTTTACTTTTGCACATAGAAAAATCCTGTACCCTCCCACCATGTTCCATAAAGCTGCAATGTTCCTTATTTAAAACACACACACACAAACATACAGGGAATTACAGACAATTTCTTTTCCAGGAAGAAAATGCCATTTAAGACAAATCCACTTGCTTTTTATTTTTAATTTATTCAGGAATGGAAACCAAGCATTCATGAAATAGAATTAACATTCATGGATCCCTGGGTCCTATTTTGCTGTTTAGAGTAAAGAGCATGCAAATTCTTATCCAGAAAGATAGCAAAGTTGTAGTAGTGCAAAGAATCTTGACTGAGAGCAACTTTCATGATTCAGGAGCTTTTGTGTAACTCTTGTAAAGTAGAAGCAGTATGCCACCAATTGGACAGAGGTTTCTGGTATTGCCGTGGAAATACATTTGAACACTTTAAAATTACAGTGTTGTCGAAAGGAAAATTGACCAAGAAATAAAGAGCACATTAAAAATAAATTCAAAATTACCAAATAATGATTTGGTGGCTCATTAAAACTCTTTATATTGGAGAGAACAAATGACTCCCAAGAGTCTTTGGTGTGATCTCCCAAAACTCTTCTAAAAGTTGACCTCAAGTCATAATTTTTCATATAGCAGAAGTAGAACATTATGGAATGTTCAGGAACGTATCACATTATATTTAATGTAATACAGTTTAAATGAAATCACATCAAATTCTGTCTGGAGTGCTGGGACCACAAATCCCAGGATTCTCCACCAGGATGACCCAAAATATCTGGAGGGTACCTGGTTGGAGAAGGCTCCAGTAGAGGGCCGATGAAGTCTGACTTGTAGCTAGCGCCTGTTAGCTATAGAGGCATTTCATATTTCTATCACAACTGAAATGAATCAGAATCCCAGAGCTGACAGCGCAAATCTCTGTGCACACACCGTCATTTTATCATGTTACAAAACTTGTCACTGAATCATTATCCCTTAATCACACCATAAAGTAATCTTCACTCTTAAAATAACTGCAGGGGGAAAGAGTGCAGCAATGAGAGACGGAGGATTGCTTGGGGAAACCAAAGAGCTCCATGCCTGCAGATTTTGCTAACTGAAGTCTTAAATACTTCTATAAACACAGTTTAGTCTACAAAGAGAAAGTGTGGGACTATGTATCCAAGTTCACCTTTTTAATTCAACTCATTTGTTTTCTTGATTAATGAAAAATTGTGAATCCTCATATACTACTTGAAGAATACCATTTGAAAGTTTCATTGTCATACAGGTGATGCAATTACAGTGCTTGTGTTATAAAGATCTCTCTCTCTCTCTCTCTCTCTCTCTGTGCATCACCTGTAAGAGAGAGATAGAAAGGAGGGAGGCAGGAAGAATGAAAAAAAAATGTTGGGTTTATATCCTCATCTTATCTAAAATTGCTAGATAGTAGGATTTTCCAGAAATGTGTGTTCTTCTCAACAGAATATCTGCACTGTACCCTAAAGATTTACACTTCTCTATATGCACACTAATAGGAAGTCCAGAAATGTTCTAGACCCATTATCACATGAGAATGTATAAAGAGGATTACATGAGGGCATTCTTGCCTTTCAAACGATTATACACACACTGAATGTTAGGACATCCAAAGGGAGCTCAAAACTGAACTAAACTCTTAGGTATGCTGGCTTTCAATGACCAGATTGCTTGAATGTTGACATGGTATAGTACAAGGAGAAAACACTGTTGTTGTTTTTTTTCCTGAACCAAAAGCATAAATCTTAGAAAGATACTAAAAAGAAGATACAGTGGTACCTCGGTTCATGAACTTAATTCGTTCCGCGACTCTGGTCGCGAACCGAATT